ATTCGTTTTTTAGCCTTTTTACCCGCCGTCATTGGACGATTTTCAAAAAAAAAAAAGTTTTACCATCCTTGGCATAGTAGTAACCTTTCGTGAAAATTTTATACAAATCAGAGCGGTACTTCCCATGTTATAGACGGGCCAAGGATTAGCGGACAGACGAATCTACGGAAATGACGGTTTTGTGTGATGTACCTGTACATGACATATAACATCAAAAAACATAAAATATTACATTTTAGAAATTCTTCACAATTACAATACTTCCTCGGTAGTACGCATGGAAAATAAAATAAACGAAGTGTCACTGGAAGACAGATAAATAAAAAAATTGTCAGAATTATCAATTGTACCTAAAAAAATTCCACCATTTTTGTCTGAAAGGCCGTCTTCTGTATAGTTCATTTCACGGTTTTTGGCGGGTTTTATACCTCCATGTCCCTCATACATACATATGCAATCTGCCTCTGTGCGCGAACGTTTGCTTGTGTAAGCTCAGACGTACGTTCTTTAGATTCGTCTCGCCACCTCGAACGTTTTCTCGGCAACGTAAGGGTATTCCTAAGGCCCGTATCGTCAGTCGTCCCTACAATTGTAGGGCGCGTGTATGGCCTCTTGACTGTCATACTCTTTTCTCTCCTTCAAAAATTTCTAGATTACACTCGTCCCGTGTCAGCTTCAGCGCTCTCCTATTGTTAAGATATGTTTTCCTTTTAAATTGTAGGAAATTTCAGGCTGTTAAAACATGATAAAACTCAAAAGCAAGCACAATTTGATGCAAATAGATGTTTGTGACATAACCTCAAAATAGAGCGCTGACACGGAGAAGTAGAAAACTATGACAATCAAGGAGGCCATATACGCGCCGTACAATTGTAGGGACGACTGACGATACGGGCCTTATATATGCTTGTCACTGTCAGTGTGACAACCCACCTGGGCGTACCGTTTTGGGTTTACCTTTCAATGATACTCATAATATAAAACAAAGCAGTTTTTGCCAAAATTATTCGAGTATTTGAGAATGAGAATGAAAGCGATGGTCATTGATAAATCGTTTTATGTATATAAGAGCAGCTGTGTTTAAAATCGGTTTGTCTAGTGTGCAATTTTCCTATGGAGTTTCAGCTCCGCAAATGGTTCAGTTGGTCGGATCGTTGGTTGTTTGGACGCAACCACGAAAACCGTGAAAAGAACTATAATCCGAACTTCAAGCATATGTAATTTCCTTTAGCGGCCAGACAAACATGGAGAATTATAATATGTGCTGATGACGGAGTTGCTTAAGAAGTGCAGAGTCAACCTATTTAATGCCATTTTTTTATTGACAAATTCCTAGAATTTAACTACCACATCACATATATGCACCACTTTCTATATTATAATTTGCGAATTTCGGAATAAGCTAAAAAGAAAATTGTTACTCAATGGAATATATGAAGGTACCTTGAACTGTATATTCCTAGACATGTATGTATGTAGTTTCACATTAAATACAGTTTGATATTTTAGTATAGTTTTCGTTCTGGTTTTCACAAAAAATCATATCTTAATTTGATAGACTCGATACGGACCACACATTCGATTATCATTTTTTTTGCCGCGAAAGAAGATCAGCCTAAATACAGAAGTACCAAGACTGATCATAATATATTTTCAATAGTTTTATTCGTCCTGTAAGAGTATTAAACCTTAATTTTCTAGAGCAGTATAAAACAATGTCTAATCCGTGTCCCTCATGCTTCGACGTTAAGTGAAACGAATGGAAAAAATACCAGAACCAAAGCGTGTATCGTACACAGGGAAAATTCAGTTTAGTGAAATCGAGTAAGCTTCGTCTGTTGATTGGATAATTTCCTTTATATACGTACTTCAAACGACAATTTGATGAAAAATCTAGTCAAAAGCATTGATAAACGTATTCTTCAAAAATATAATATATTTTATAGGGTAAAAGGAGGAGAGATGGACCAGGAGGATAGACCGTCCACCGAAAATATCGGGCCAGGTTTGGCAACAAGGCAAAACTAACCTACTCTGTGTTGTTTCCTAACGTCAGTTGTGTCTGAGACGGCCACTAGAGGGCATCATCGCGAGCCTACGCGAATGTTATTTACGATAATTGAATTTACCACGTGTTAAAATTTTATCAGAGTTTTGAAAACCTGTTTTTTATAAGAATCAGGTAAGTTTATCCGATTTTTTGTTGATTCACTATTTAGATATATTTATATATACAAGGTATACTATAGAGTGCCAATTGTAGCTTTAATCTGCATATTTTAGATTTTAGATGCTAGGGACTAGTCCATCTACCCTCCTATTTGAGGATAGATGGACCACTTAAAAGGAGGAGAGTTAACAGGTATATTTTGTTTTAGAATTATGCCCAATAAATACATCCGTAAACAAAGCACACCAAAAAGGGGTTCTTGGTCCCCTAGGGCTTTAAGTGATGCAGTAGATGCTGTGAAGAATGGCGATATGGGCATCAATGAAGCCGCCAAAGCATTTGGGATACGAAAAACAACTTTCAAGCGTCGGTTAAAAGCAAACAACACTGATAAGAATGATCGATTGGGCCCGGATTGTTCTTTGGGCTCGAATGCCGAACTTAAAATTGTTAATCACATCAAGAAACTGCAAAAGGCAGGATTTGCACCCACCAGAACTGAAGTAAAAATCATGGCGTTTAATTTAGCTCAGCGAATGGGGATCCCAAATAAATTTAATCAAAAAGAAGGTAAATTTTAAAAATATGAAACACACATTGTTGTTACTAGTTATCGATTTTTTTAGGTAAAGCTGGCCAAAAATGGTTAGAACTATTTTTAAAGCGAAATCGGAAAACACCTCAATTGCGCGAGCTTTGGGAATGTCCAGAGAAACCGTTGGTAATTACTTTTCTGATCTCGAGAGAATCATGACTGAACATAACTTTTATGATAAACCCGGGCATATATTTAATACAGACGAAACAGGATTACAGCTGAATGCCAGAGCTGGTCAGGTACTAGCCAAAAAAGGCTCAAAAAGCGTTCCTAGTGTAAGCCCTGGGGAAAAAGGTGAAACAATCAGCGTTATAGCATGTTGTAGTGCAGAAGGGATTTTCTTGGCCCCGTATTGTATTTTCAAAGGAAAAAATAGAAAAAAGGACTGGTTAGAAGGTATGCCACCGGGTTCTAAGATTAGAATTACAGAAAAATCAGCTTACGTTAACAGCGACATTTTTTTAGAGTGGTTACGCACCCATTTTCTACCAAGAAAGCCCCCAGGTAAAACTTTATTGATATTAGATGGCCACACGTCCCATACAACCAACCTGGATCTACTAGAATTTGAAGAACAAAATGAAATAATTTTGTTTTGTTTACCAGCCCATACAACGCACTATCTACAGCCTCTCGATCGTGCCTTTTTTAAAACTCTTAAAAGCAACTTCTACGCTGAATGCCGTTTTATGGTTCAAAATAACCCAAACAGGGTCCTAAATCGCCTTCAATTTGGTAAGCTGTTAGGTCGAGCATGGGGAAACTCAGCAACTGTTCAAAATGCGACTTCATCATTTAAATCCACGGGAATTTATCCATTTAATCCATTAGTTATCCCGGAATATGCTTTTTTGACACAGACACCCGTCCAAACGCCTCAAACAGAAACATCGCAGATGAACAATTTGTCAGTTAGATCAGAATCTCCTCAACCAGGCCCCTCCGGAATTCAAAATCCAAAAGCTTCACCTGTTAGCCCTAACAAGTCGTCAATTCCTCATGAAGTTATAACTCCTGGAAAGGCTCTTAAAGAAATAATGCCCGTGCCTGTTTTATCTGCAGCAGTAAAAAGAGTCCGCAAAAAAATATCCGGTGAGATTACATCTGAAGAATTTATTAAAAATAAGAAAGATGCACAAATCAAGAAGAGCTCAAAACCTGTGAAAAAAACAAAAAATAAGAGAAAGCTGAGCGAATCGTCAGTCTCTGAAGATGATGTTACTCTTGATGACAGTTCTAGTGGTGATGAAGGCTTCAGCGATTTAGAAAATGAGTGTGTCAGACGCAAGGAGGATTATCGCCAAACATGTAAACAAGATGACTGGTTACAATGTATTTTTTGTAAGCGTTGGTTACATGAAACTTGTACTGGCTTCGTTAACCTTTGTAATAAGTGTGGAAAGTCTGTAGCTACCAAAAAGAAGAAATCTTAGCATGGTCCATCTCTCCTACCCCTAGTGGTCCATCTCACCGCCACAGGGTAGGATAGATGGACCAATGACATACCTCTCATTATATATTTTTTTTAGCTCTATGAATTGATATTTTTTGTTTTTATCTATACCAAAAGAAATACCAATGTTAAGTTATGCTATATATATTTTTTTAGTTTTGTTGTTTTTTTATTAAAGGAGCACGCCTAAGTGTTTTAAAATGTGGTCCATCTCTCCTCCTTTTACCCTACTGTATTTTGGCATTCAGATACAATTCTCATTCTCATTGTTACAGCTATGTTTCCAAGTCGCATGTTTCCAGGCAGCACCGGTGGCCGCAGTAGTAGACTCTTTGGTCTCCTGATCAGTCGCCGTGCGCTGTGCGGGTTCGAGTCCCGTCCCAGGAGAAATTTTTCTCTTGGCTATGGATGTTGTGATTGTCCGTAGGTGGTAGATGGTCTCTGACTGTCGAACGTGGAGGTACCACCCGGCGGATCTCGTAGGCGGAGCCAGAATGTGTGCATGTTGCATGCACACGTGTTCCCTCGCCAGAGTCCGTGTGGCGTTCCCCCTTTCCCCTGTATCCCCCTATAGCCCCACGGTACCCAATGGGTGTTTAGGCCTTAGGCCTTCATGGTAGTTGGAATATAAAAAAAAAGGTTCTCTTGGAATAAAAATATAAATATAAAATAAAATGTTTGTTCTCAAACATGACAAACTACCTTCTAAGAAAACATCAGGTGGCATCAATAGACATCGCGATAATGTGAATACATTTTTTGATGACTTATCGACTTACCTCAGCTCCAAACCATAGCTGTCCTGCAAGGTTATCTTGAAGAACATCTTCAGGAAACTTTACCCTGAAATCCCTGTTAGCCCTTTCGTCTCCTATCAGCACATCCATGATCGAGTTTGTTATAGTTAGTACCCTGCAAAGATTATTTATCATATTAAATTTAGATTCATTCGGTTCCCAAATGCAACTGATGAATTTTTAATCAGATAATTGAGATTTTTAGAATTGTTACAACAAATAGGAATGAATAGATATAAAAAACAATAAATGTCACCATCGATGGGAATCGAACCCACGACCTTTCTATTGCATCACCTGTTGTATCAAGCGCTCTAGGTAGTCCCCCAAGGTTGTTTTAGTAATATGTTTATACTTTTTAGATTTAAAAAAATGACAAATAGTATCGTACCTATCCTGGGCTAGTCTAAGTCTGGTAACCAAGAGGGTACATCGTTCAGGGTCCTTTCTTCCATCGAAGCTGTCTAGTTCGCCTGCTATCGCATTCAGGTTTTCGTCAGCGTGAAAGAATTGCGCTAGCAGGGAGGTGTCATCTTTCTGCAACAACAAAAAAAAAAATACGACAAGTAGGTTGATTCCGTACTTCTCACGCAACGCTGTCATCAGTTCATGATGTTCGGCTAAAGTCATCGTTATTTATTAACATCTCTGATATCTGATAGCGTTAGTTTTTGATATCAGTGATTCATGTGATCACGAATTTTTACAAACAATGGGTGAGTTCTTCCGTTGTAGGGTACAGATCGTTTGCGGAATGATTTCTTGCATTTTAAACAAACAAACAACGTTTACTGAAGGGCGCGACTAATTTCCAGTTATTTGTGATCTCTTCTAGTTTTTTGGAAAGTTTTTTAAAAAATTCAAAATGGCCTGGGGTGAAAGAGTTCAGCCACGTAGCTGCAGGAAATCTTACCCGGGAGTCAACGTAATTTTAACGGAGTAATAACCAGTTGGATCCGCACGTGATGATGTCCATTGAAAACAACTCTGTAGATCGCGAGAGACGGGCTAGCACTAGCAAACTCTTTCTGATACAATATGCCTCTATAATGATGGTTCAAAATTTTATTTTTAGGAAATCTGAGTCTTTGCTGTTCAGAATATCGATGACTCTTCTCTAACGAAGTGAATGTTAGAGAGACCCGCCCTAACAGTGTCGAACTTCGTAGATCCAGAACTGGCCGATACGACCGCTCCGTTGTTCCTAGTGTATCGAGATTGTGGAACAATCTACTAACCATTTAGGCTTCTGCCTGTGTGACTGCAGTTTTATTTCAATGCAAATCTTTATGATTTATGCTGCAGCAGATCCTTAGAAGTTCGAATAAAGCACAAAAGTTTTTTTAATAATTCAGTACATTATATATATATAACAAAACGTGGGAAAATAATAGGCAAAATCCGCAAAAAGAAGGAAAGTGGATACGAGCAGAAAATAGGATAGGTAACCCTACCCTAGCATATGTGCATTCATTTTGGGCCTGATGAAGCCAACCAGCAGAAATACGTATCGCTCGGGTTACCATCCTATTTTCTGCTGGAATCCAGTTTCCTCCTTTTTGCGGATTTTGCCCATTATTTTCCTACTTTTTGTTATATTCCTTTCCCCGCATGATCATTTTCTCTTTGTAGATCCTTTAGGCTTGAAATACCACAGCAAGTGGCTATAACCGGCCGCGTGGTTGTGGTTAGATGTCTCCTTGAAAATTCAATTCATTTAAATTCGCAGTACATTTCCTATCATGAGACAAATTTTTTAGTTTGATTTTATTCAAAAATGGCACAATTTATCGATATTCAATAAGAGTACCTTTTTTATGTAGAAAAGCCTAAATTTTCAAATTCTAAAATTGAATTTCAAAAATAGAATCACACAAAAATTTTGGGGCTAAAATAACCTGAGTCCGTCCCTGTTACATACGCTTCCAAATAAAACTGTCTAAAATTGTTAATATTTTTAAATCCAGCATAAAAAACTAGGCTAGAATACCAAATTTTATGTCTTTATCTCGACACGTTTCGGAAATATAAAGGAAAAACCATCTTCAGGGGAGCTGCTTTAAAAGACCGTAGCGCCCTTAGGGGACGTTTGTCGACCTATGTTTATATAAACTTTTCTTCCTATTTTAAGCTCTAGAAACCGTTGGTAGAATATTGCACACTTTTTTCGGGACACCCTGTATATATGTATATATAGTGAGAGAGAAAATAACCATGATAATGATTTTTTGTTATATATATATATATATATATAAAAATATTCATTATTAGAGCAATTTTGAAATCAAGACAAAATACTATCAAATGATGATTTTAGCATAATAGAGTGACCATGTAAAAAATAACAGAGTATTTTATCCTTCCAATTGATTTCTGATGATCGATTTTGTTGATCACAATGATTTTAAATAAATATATTATACCGCATATTTCAAATAGGACTCTCACCATTGGGATCTCGGAGAATACAAACGAAATGGGGCAAAGTTGTGCATTTAGGAAACTACGAAAATGGTACTTAGAAGGTTTTACACTGCCAAGTATTACCGAGGGTAGGCGAAAGAAACTGAATTTTCTCAAAATAGTTTTTATTCTTTCCTGACTTTATTTGACATTGGATTTAAAAATTAAAAGTACATTAACACATACATATTTAAAATTTCAACATAACCTTCCACCTCTTGTAATCAATCATCAACTTTGTATTTTCTTATGGATGCCCAATTAGATTTATGCACAGTTGGATAGGGTTTTTAATTCTGATTTCACAAATGTACTATTTGTTAGACAATGACATTGCCAAACCTTAGTTATTTCAGAAAAACAGAAATTCCTAAGTAGGCATTGAAATTATCAGGTAGTCATTTGTTTCATAATATCATCAGTCAAGCATTCTTTCAATTCTTGTGACCAAGGCAAAATTGAACACCCCCTATCTCCGATTTCAATGTTGTGATTTTGAGAAATTGTACATAATATGAGATGGATTGGTATTATAAAACCTCAAATATCTAAAGGTACTATTGCATACATTGAAAAGGGTATTAATATATGTAACTGATATAAACATTTTGGAGTAAGTAAAAGCCTCGACCATGTTGCAGCTTCCTAAACATATTGAATATCTCTCGTATCTAAGCCGATGCATACATAGTGAATTCAAATACTATTAATCTACGGTTGATGTGGTATGTTGAGCGCCTGCATCGTGCTAAAATATCGCTTACTATAGTCGCAAAATGGACAACCTGATTCTTGATCTCCAAATGATCGGACTATTAATTTTGTTCCATTTTCGATTGAGAATATTCCAAACTCCTACAACATTACAGTAAATTGATTACTTACTTTTACGATAAAAACTTATCATGAAACAAGAAAATTTAGATTGATGGCTACTGTTACAGTTCACTGGTCCAGTTATTTCTCAGCAGTTGTGCGTTCTTAAGAAATCGATAGTAAGGAGGCATGTCCGAAAATAGCTCAGCTGTTTCTCAATTTGAATTGTTAGCACTGTCTCATCAGACAATACGGTCTAAATATAACCAGTGACAATGAAAATAGCAAGTATCTAAAACAGATGCAAAAAAGTACCGTAATATCATCACAATTCTGAAACCATTGGGTAACGTGTTCTTCAAGAAAATGGCCAACCATATACTGCAATTATTCTACGAATTGCGTATTTTTCTTTACTCGAATGTCTATTTCCGTTAATCTACTAGTAAAGAAATCGAGTGATTCTTGCTAGAACAATATAAATTATGTATGCCAAGGACTTCTTAACAGTCGAATGATAGATCTGAGGTTTTTAACTAATAGATTATACAGTAGGCGGTATAGATTGTGATTTATTTTCACTTTTTCAGGGTTACACTTGTTAGTTCCGTGCAATATTTTAACATTTGACCTCAGCTTTACCACTGACGAACAAATTGTGACATTGTTAAACTGATTTTGTGCAGTTTTCTTCAATTCTTCCTCGCAGAGCCTGACCACATATTGCTTCTTGACAAACTTTGACCTCCCACGTCTACGAGCGGGGAAGTATTGTTATCACGAAAAACTGAATACGAAATTTTGTTTTTTGGATGTTATGGCATGTATGTACATCACGAAAAACCATGTCACTCATTTCCATCGGTCTGTCTGCCCGCTAATCCTTGGACCGTCTCGGATTTGGATGAAACAAGATTACTAATATACTAGGGACGAAAAAGCTTTGTGGTTTTTAATAATCTGTACAGAGGCGGCGGATAAAAATCCCACGAATGATTTTTTTTTTTAAATGCGTAAAGTAAGTTGACTCTGTGCTTCCCACGCTACGCTGCCGTCAGTTCGTAAAAGATTATGTTTGGCACAAGTTAGCATTTCTGAGAAAAAGGTTAGCTACAAACATGTAGAACAAAAAAATAACTGACCTTCCTCCTTCCCTTGCAGGTGCACATGATCGCTGCTATGACCAATCCCGCGTAAATGACAATATTGGCCATCATCATGCACAGTGCATACAGCCTACAGCAGTGCGGAAGCGATTGCCGACTGTGACGTATGACCACCGACGACGACGCTTGTCCATCGGGGGACGACGTCGCACGTATCGACACCCGACTGTAGGAGATATTTTTGAGTTTTAAGGGTATATGTATAAGTATACCAACGTAAAAAATTGATATATACCCTCCCCTATCCCCACAACTCCAAACGAAGTTTGAGTGATTTTGTTTTTTTTTATTTTGGCCTTTTTCGCTGCCTACACTGGTCCGATTTTTAAAACCTTTTGAGTTTCTGGCAAAGTAATAACATTTCATCGAAATCAGAGCGGTACTTCTCAAGTTTAAGCGGTTATAAGGTTAGCGGACAGACCGACATACAGACAGACCGATGGAAATGGATAACATGGTTTATCGTGATGCACACAAACATGTCATATAACATCCAAAAAAGATAATATTTCATTTTCAGAAATTTTCGCGACTTTCCCCGCCAGAAGGCGAGGGAAGTAAAATGCTCAAACTTAGCTTTTGTCGTTTTGGCGGATCCTGATCATTTTTGAAAAAAAATTAATGGGTAAAAAATTGAGTGGTTGGGAATTGTAGGTGGTGGGGTTTGGGTGAATCGCAATTTATCGATGATATAATAGTAAATACTTCAGATCCCGGTATCTCTACACACAGCAACTTTTATAAGTCACAATTTAGCCAAATATTGCCCAATTAAGGAGAAAAAAATATTGTTTAATTTTTTGTATGAAAAAAGCACATTTTTTGCCCTTTGACAGCACACTAATTACGGATCGAAACTGAGACACATGATACAATCTAGAGAGCATTACTGTCGTCATTTCGTTCACTAACACCTACTGCAAAATTCTGCAACCTAAAAAGATCAAGACGTTTTAATTTTTCATTTTTCAATAAAATAATAACTTAGGGTCGAACGGCAAATAATCGATCTATTTTTTCCTATATTGATATTACAAACACGTTTTTATATAACTCTGTTTTGTAATATATGTATTTGAAGAGAAAAAATAT